TGGTGAGTATTGAAGACAGCCCTTAAGGAGTCTTGCTTTCAAGGAGATGGGAGAAGTGGCTTGTTAATGGAGGGTGATGTAGTATCAAAAAGTTGTTTATTTTAAGATAGAAGATATAGCAGGTTTGTATGCTAATAGGACTGATTCAATAGAGAGGAAAAAAACATGATGCAGGAAAGAGGGATATTGCTGAAGCCCTAGACCTGATACACAAATAGGAGGGTTAGTTTTAAAGATAGGCACACAAACAGCTCATTAGAAGCAGTAGGATGAAGGGCAGATTATGGAGTTCTATATGTTTGTAGTTCAGTAGATAGAAGGAGCATGTCAAGTTTTTGTTATATTTTCTCACTGAAATAAGAAGCAAGGTCATAAAGAAGGGAGGACGTCCTGAAGGATTAAGGAAGGAAAAAGAAGATGTCAAATGGATACCTAGGAATGTAGAAGAGTAAACGTACTCCTATGTGGTTTATTTAAGTGTTAACAGTGAACATGGTTTTGTGTGTCCTCCAGGTAAGTTCAGCATAGGTGCTATCACTGAGTAAGTATAGAATCCAGCTTAACTGAAGTTGAGATTTCCCTAGGTGAATAAAACAGTCAGTGATGAGATGTTGATACATTTAAGAGATTGATTATAAAAGGAGGGATATGAAAAGTAATCTGGGTTAAGGAGTGAAGTGAGAAAATAAAGAAGGCTTGGACAGTGGAAAATGGTATGATCAATTGTAGATTGCATTGTGGTTGAAGATGTATTGGAGTTCTTGAGATAGGAACTAGACATTTTGGAGTTTTAATTAAGAGTGGGGTGACTGAAATATTAGAGTATAGTAGTTTTAGGATGTCAAGATGGGACTGGTGTGAAGGCAAGGTGATGAAAGGAGATAAATTCAAGAAATAGATAACCTAGGAGACTGAAAGGATTATCGAAATGAATTTTGAAATCTCAACAAGAAATGTGCTGAGTGCTTGTAGTAATTATGTTATCTTTACTATTTGAGAAGACAGCACTTCCTTTTTTGAGTAATGGAAAGTTCTTTAATATGTCAACTGTGAGATGCTTTATTAGATTTCATTATCTTTAGTAATGCGTACTAAAAAATAATGACCTCAGTAGGATTATTCAGTAGATATGTGAGCTAACCCTTGTGTCAGACACCTAAGAGGTACAACTGATGGTTTTCAAGAAAAATAGAAAGTTATTACTTACGCTGCTAAATATCCCACCCAATATTTTCTGAAAACAAATGGTATATATAGAGTGTGCACATATAAGCTAAAAGGAAATCTTAAAACACACACACACAGGCACACATGTGCAAAACATTGAAAAAACATTAGGAAAGAGATATCCTGTACCCAACATGCATAAGATCTAAGCAATGAGGAAAAAGTGAAGAAATCAAATAAGACTAGAATATCTAATAACTAATATATAAAGACTAGAGGCCATTGTATCCATTTAAAAAGTATCAATTAGAAATGAAAAAAAAAAGGGGCCAGGTGCAGTGGCTCAGGCCCATAATCCCAGAACTTTGGGAGGCTGAGGAAGGTGGATCAACGTGAGGTCAGGAGTTTGAGACCAGCCTCGCCAACATGGTGAGACCCTGTCTACTAAAAATTGCTGGGCATGGTGGCATGTGTCTGTGGTCCCAGTTACTCAGGAGGCTGAGGTAGGAGAATCACTTGAACCCGAGATGAGGAGATTACAGTGAGCCAAGATTGTGCCACTGTACTCCAGCTTGGGTGACAGAAAAAGATTTAAAAAAATAAATGAGAAAAGAGGTATTTTATGTAAGATTTTTTTTAAGTATAAAAGAACACTTAATGTGACATTTATATACCAGGATCTTTGAATATCCAAAAGTTCAAGAAGAAGAAGGTGTGAGCAATTTTATGAAACTTTTCAAAGCTTAGAAAAAGGTAGCTACACAAAATACCATAATATGTTGTTTATTGGAACATTAGATTAAGTAAGTCAAAAACATCCATAGAAATGATCATACAAACTAGGGAAGAAATCAGATGTCTTGCCAAGGAAGGAAAGGATGAAGGTGAAGGAGATTGACGTTGAGTGTGGGAAACTCTGCATATATTGTATTTTTCTTTAAAAAATACATTTAAACTCGTATTTCTTGTTTTTCAAATGTTCAATGAAAATACTTTTTCCTGTTACAGTTTTTTATTTCTGATCTCATATACACAGTATACTATTGTTGACAAATACTACTCATCCTCACTGTAAATGAAATACTCCCATTCTATTGAATATGGGAATGTCTATGTGATTTGCTTTGGCTGTGAAATGTGAGCAGAAATAATGTTTTATTTTGGGGACTTCCAGATTGCTAAAGCATGTGTCAAAATGAAGTTTTTTTTGTGACATTACAAATGGACTAATAAGAGTGTCCTTTTTGATCCTAGTTGAACATGAGAAACTTGGTTATTGTAAGCCACTGAAAAATTTTATTATTTTTTTAATTATTGCAGAATAACCTTTTCTGTCCTGATTGATACAGCCACAAAATCTCCTTAAGCTCTTTGGTTTTCATATTTCTCTTAGGTTGTAGAAAGTCAAGAGAAGAATAAATCATAGGATCAGAGAATGTTAACAGTGAAATAGATGATTGGAATAAATTTTTGTTCAGTGGTTTCCAGACTTTGGGTTCTAAGTAACCAATAATATTTCAGAAAAAAAAGTATTAAAAGATATTTCAATATATTAAAAAAATGACATTTAATTTTGTAAAAAAATTACCAATGCTGGGCATAAATGGCTCATGCTTGTAATCCCAACAACAGGAGGCTGAAGAGGGAGGATCACTTAAGCTCAGGAGTTTGAAGCTGCAGTGAATCATGATTGCATCTCTGGACTCCAGCGTGGGTGACATAGGGAGACCCAACTGAAAAAACAAAGCAAAAAAAAGTATCATTAAGACATTGTTCCTCTCTCTCTCTTCCCAGCCTCCTGACCACACCTAAATCTAATCTTACTAAACAAGAGCTAAGGATGAGACAAGGATTTATGGTTGTACTATACTGAATACGTAGTGACTTTTTTCCTAGTCATCATTTTCTAAACAACATAGTGTAACAACATTTTACATATCATTTACGAAGCATTAGGTATTATCAGTAATCTGAGATGATGTAAAAGTTATATGTAAATACATTTTATATAAAGGACTCAAGCAGTTGTTGCTTTTAATATCCATGGTGGGTCCTGGAACCAATTCCTCATAGATATGGAGGGACACAGAACCACTGTCGTTAAACAAATAATGACTTTTAAAATTAACGAAACCTTTTGTGTGGTGAATACAGTCATACACCGCCTATATGATGGTTGTCCAATAAGTTTATTGTGCCATATTTTTATTGTATGTTACTATGCTTAAGTACATTTAGATACACAAATACAATGTATTATAGTTGCCTGTAGTATTCAGTACAATAACATGCTGCACAGGTTTGTAGCCTAGGAGGAATAGACTACAGCATCTAGGTTTATGGAAGTACATTCTATGACATTTGCACAGTGGCTTAATTACCTAAGGACTTACTCTTCAGAACATATTCCTGTCATTAAGCAATGCATGCTGTAGTTGAAAAAATAATAATAATGTAGGCATACCTTTGGCACCACCCTAATTCTTACCAACATCCATGATTACTTAAATTTGCATTGGAAAGACTTCAAAAAACTGATATATTAGTACGGTCTATTTGCAATACATGACAACTACATAAAAACTCCAAACATTCAATAAGAGAAAAAAATAAATAAAGCAAAACTAGATGGGAAAAAAAAGAAGCAAATCTCAAGAGGAAACTCAAAATGCCAAAAAAAAAAAAACGTGAAATGGGCCGGGTGCGCTGGCTCACGCCTGTAATCCCATCACTTTGGGAGGCAGAGGCGGGTGGAACAGGAGGTCAAGAGATTGAGACCATCCTGGTAAACATGATGAAACCCCGTCTCTACTAAAAATACAAAAAATTAGCTGGGCATGGTGGCGCGTGCCTGTAATCCCAGCTACTCAGGAGGCTGAGGCAGGAGAATTGCCTGAACCCAGGAGGCGGAGGTTGCGGTGAGCCGAGATCACGCCATTGCACTCCAGCCTGGTAGCAAGAGCGAAATTCCGTCTCAAAAAAAAAAAAAAAAAAGTGAAATGATGTTCAGCTTTGCAAGGAATTTGGAAAAATGCAAATTAAATCATTTTTAACATGTTAGGCAAAACATTAGAGCTTTGATAATTTTTAGTGGGAGTGTGGCAGAAGGTACTATAATGCTACTAGGGAGTAAAAATTGATACCTCTGTAAGGGCATCTTGCATAATATGAAAATATAAAAATGTGCTTCAAGTTTTACATATGCTTATCTAGCCTACAGAATTATTCACCCATGTGTAAACATGTACACAGATTTTCATGACAGCACTTCATATAACAACAAAGTCTTTGGAAATAAATGTTCATATCAACAAGAGCATATTGTATGATCTTAGTCCAACTAGCATATTCTGTTTCAGTTCTTTAAAATGCTCAACTTCTGACTGTATGTAGACAATTAACAAAAGAATGTGTGCATTTGGTCAGGTTAATAAAAATTTGTTCAAATCTGCTTGTTCTTACTAAGGTTGTTATATTAAAACTCTCATAATTGTGGATTTCCCTATTCTTACTATACCGTCAATTTTTTGCTTTAGCAATTTAAAACATAAGGCAAGTAAACACATATATTTGTTAAATTTCTAGTCAGAAAGTCAAACATTTTCAACTATAAATGTACAGCCATTTTATTTTTGGAATTAATTTTGCCTTAGATCTTTATCCAATAATAATAAAACTACAATGTCTTTCCTTCGGTTAGAATTTGCATCATTTATTTGGTTCTAACTTTATCTTTTTTCTCAGTTTTTAAGTATTATGTCTGAAAATGCATTTAGCAAAAACATTTAATCAATTTACATTGAATATAATTATTGTCATATTTGCTATATTCACTTTATTTCTTCACTCATTTTTGTATTCTTGCCTTCTTTTATTTTTATTAATCTGTTTTTTTTTTACCCTATACCACAGTAAGAATTAGGCACACTTTGTTTTATTAATGATTAGCACTGATTAAACCATGCATATTGTCAAAGTCCAAAGTTAATGCCTATTCCCATTGCCAAAGACAATAATGGACCTTAGAATACTTAAACACTGTTCTATTCCAGTTTGTAGTTGTTTTTATTTTTGAAATTACTCCTATATTTTTATTCCTCCAAGACATTATTTTTGGAAAACTTTTACTACTGTTAATCTTATAAAAATCAGATTAATCAGAAGTAATTAAGCAGAACTCAGATTTTAAAATATTTTCACATAATTTTTTGTTTGTTTGTTTGAGATGAAGTCTCTGTTCCCCAAGCTGGATTGCAGTGGCATGATATCAGCTCACTACAACCTGGACTTCCTGGGTTCAAGCAATTCTCCTGCCTCAGCCTCCTGTGTAGCTGGGACTACAGGCATGTGCCACCATGTCCAGCTAATTTTTGTATTTTAGGTAGAGACAGGGTTTCACTGTTGTTGGCCAGGCTGGTCTTGAACTCCCAACTTCAGGTGATCCACCTGCCTCGGCCTCCCGAAGTGCTAGAATTACAGGCGTGAGCCACTGTGCCTGGCCCACATAATATTTTATTTGATTTTTTTCTAACAATTCAATGAAAGGGAATATAAGACTGTTAGTAGGTAAGAGCTCACTGTGGAGTGAGGCTTTTTGCCTTTGAAATTTAGTCCCAAAATGTACCAGTTTGACCATTAATAAATCCCATTATTTAATTTTTTAGTATTTCTGTTTTCTTATTTTATAAATGGGGATAATCATATTTCTGTCATGTAGGGTATGCACATGTTAGAAGTAAAAGCAATAATGCATGGAAATGTCATCGTAATATATATTGTTAGTGGTTATTGTATTTTTATATTTATCAAGAATACTATCATCCTTATTTTCTTAATGGGAACCTAGTATGAAACTCATAGACTTTAATTTTTTTTTCTAAGGTTCACATAGAAAAAACATAGTACATGGTGAAGCACCGAGTAGATGGTGAAGCATGGAGTTAAATTTTTGACTTAGTGACTTTGTTTACAATCTAGTCTCATTTAACTAATATAACCCAGTCCTATGCCAATCTGGTCTTTAAGGTTATTTTCTTGAGGAGGTTATTTTATTTTATTAGTTTATCTTATTTTTTAAGGTTATTTTATTCCCTATATATTTATTCCTTATATATTGGTATTAATGGTTCAGGGAAAAAAATTCGTAGAGATTGGGAGAGGATGTTGTAGAAAAAGAAAGCAAACAAGGTATAGGGCAGTAGAAAGATGAGGCAGGGCAACATTGAGCAGAGGAGAGAAGACAGTGATTTGCTAGCATCGTGGCCAACCTGTCGTCGTAGTGGAGTACAGAGAAGACTGCTTTTACAAATCCGACTTGGAGAACTGGAGCAGGACTGTAGTGCCACATATTGAAAGTAAGAGTTTACAGAAAATCTAAAATTCTAAATCCAGCATTTTTTTTTCCCAACTGAAGAAAAAGCAAAACCAAAACTGTGAGATTTTTGTTATTTTATGATTGTAAAACACTGAACTCTGGGTTTGGGAGATTGCTGATTGAAAGACGCTAATGTGGTAAGTTATTTTAATGTTTTTTAAGTATCATGTAAGTCCCCCCGCCACTTGTTTTTGTCTTGAAATAAGTAGTTTCTGTCACATGATTTGATATAGAGTTTCACAATCTATTTTAGGTTTGTTGACAACTCGTGTTTCAGTGTTGTGCAGTACAAAATGTACTGTTGGTATTGAAAATGTATCTTAGTCTTGGCTCAAAAGGTTTCTCTGATTTCAGAGATCTGGTAGGCAAACTTAATTATCTATGCTTTCTTTTCTGTAACCTTCATATGCAACTTAATTCTAAGTTCAGGTTTATTTCCTCTGTTATTCTTTTCTGTTGGGGGAAGGACTAATGGTTGAAGGTTGACTATTTTGAGAAAATTGTACATAATTCAATGCAAAACTCAGAGGAATTAAGGCTTTTTATTTTTAATAAGTGAAACCACTAACTTGATCAAGTTTATAGATGTGACATTAAAGTATTTCAATTGTAATTTTCAATCATACTTTATTTATTGTAAAGATATTTATAAGGCATCTAGGTTAAGAAATATGAATGACATTAATAGATAACTTATCTTTTGGGGTCAGTGTTAATTCATTTGCCTGTTAAAAAACTATAGTATCTGGTACAAATGTGAAGCTACTTTGGATAAGGGGAAAGAACTTACAAACAACTGATAATTAGTAGAAAGGAAGCTCTGGGAAGACAAGTTATTTGGAAGCTGCTAGTTTCTGCTTAACATTTTAATAGAACTCTTTTATCTAAATCTTGGCTTTGGTGTGATTTAAGTAGACTTTAAGCTAAAGGACCAAATTTATGGTACTTGATGTGTTAAGAGGAATACTGAGCCTTTTCCCTATAATGCCATTTATATTATGGATGTCAAAATAAATACCTCATATGCACGCCTGTAATCCCAGCACTTTGGGAGGCCGAGGTGGGTGGATCACAAGGTCAAGAGATCGAGACCATCCTGGTCAACATGGTGAAACGCCGTCTCTACTAAAAATACAAAAAATTAGTTGGGCATGGTGGCGCGTGCCTGTAATCCCAGCTACTCAGGAGGCTGAGGCAGGAGAATTGCCTGAACCCAGGAGGCGGAGGTTGCGGTGAGCCGAGATAGCGCCATTGCACTCCAACCTGGTAGCAAGAGCGAAACTCCGTCTCAAAAAAAAAAAAAAAAAAATACCTTATATGATATTGATTGAAAAAATACTTTTGAGAACCTCAGAAACTGGCTAATTTTGAGTTAATTCGTGATACTGGATATATATTTTTTAATATGAGCCCAGATAGAGAAGAGAGGATATGTTTTGACACTCCAAATGTAGATACTCTGTAATAACTATCGCTTTGGTGTCAGGATATTACTAAATGTTCTATTTCATATTCTTAAGGAGTTCCCAGGATACCTCATTTGGCACCTTAGAGTAACCATTAGAGTTTAGAGTGAAAGAAAGTTTTTCTTTGTAGAGCATTCCAGGAAAAACAAAATATGGGCAACAAAGCCATATGTTACTAATAACTGAATAGCTTCTCTTCTCTAAGGATAACTCTTTTAGGATAACTATTTCCAAAAGTAGACATAACAACTATTTTAAATTCTTATTTTTGTTGTTGTTTTTGATGTCAAAGATGCCAAGAATTGGTTTTGCAGATTTTTATTTCAGAGGACATAAATATATTTTAATTGTTTTAATGCCTCTCCTTTGGGGTATGTAGCTCTTCAAATTGCTTGTTTGAGGTGAAAATTAAGATTACATGAGAAAGTATATGACAATGTTTGACCTTAGCAGAAGCTTATTATATGTATGTTTAACTCTACCTATCCTGTAGTGCTAATGAAATTCCCTAACTTATGTCTGCAAATTATCCCTTATTTTACCAACATCCCAAATGCATTGTAAAAAATGCTGATTTGTTATTGCAAGAGCATAGTTCACTCATGTGGCATTGATGAAAAGTATATTTCAAAACTAACGAGCATCTGCCAGAAATCCTAAGCCAGTAAACAAGAAGAATAGTGTGAGGAGAAGAAGGAAAAAATGTGGAAAAAAATTGCAAGTGGAAAATGTTGGTCATTTCTTTTCATCTCTGCCTATTCCTTTAGTGGAAATAAAAATACATCTGAGAAGTAGAAAGTATTAGAAGTTGGCAGAGGTGGAGTGAGTAACAGAATGGCCAAGTGTTAGTAGAGTGAAGGCGAGAAGACAGCGTGAGTTGATAGGATCTTTATTTTATTTATTTATTTATTTATTTATTTATTTATTTATTTATTTAGAGACGGAGTTTCGCTCTTGTTACCCAGGCTGGAGTGCAATGGCGCGATCTCGTCTCACCGCAACCTCCGCCCCCTGGGTTCAGGCAATTCTCCTGCGTCAGCCTCCTGAGTAGCTGGGATTACAGGCACGCGCCACCATGCCCAGCTAATTTTTTGTATTTTTAGTAGAGACAGGGTTTCACCGTGTTGACCAGGATGGTCTTGGTCTCTTGACCTCGTGATCCACCCGCCTCAGCCTCCCAAAGTGCTGGGATTAGAGGCATGAGCCACCGAGCCCAGCCGATAGGATCTTTAATAGGACCAGTAGTAAAAATACCAATACAAAAATAACGTCAACCATATTGAGCTTTCACTGTATCCATACACTGGGATAACAGCTTTATTTGCATTATTTGTTTAATCACAGTAACCTTATGAGGTAAATATTACTTTTTCTAGTTCATAGATGAATATAAGGTTATTTTTCAGGGTCACACAGGTGATAAATGGAAAAGTCAGGATTTAAACTATAGTTTGTCTTAACTCCTAAGGTCATGTTCTTAACCATTACATTTTTGCATTTGGAACCTTGAGTCAAGCATAAAGTTCAAATGGTGCCCCTCTTCTCTTAACTCTCAACTCTTCACACCATCAGCCCTGTATCACTCACTAGCTAGTCAGTCTTCTATTTAGATTCTGATACTTACATCCAGTTAGTCTCTTGCACTCCTTGCACATTTCCTTCCCTATTTGTTTTAAAAAATCTTCTCAGGTAATAAAACTCCCCTTCCTACTTTGAAGGCACCTTTAATTCTCTCCTTCCTACTCTGCATACCCCATCATTTATATAGACTTGTGGCTTCACCTAACATCTTTTTTGGTATTTTGTCAGCCCTCAAGGATACAGCTCTCCAGGCCTGATAAATTCAGCTGGTGTGCACCAGCCTGTGTATAGTAGCTGCTTAGGGATAGCATCTGTTCTGTTCAGTGTCTGTGTTAAATCAGTTAAGTATTTTGTGCTCCATTTCTCAAATTGTCATTGCTTTGTTGAAAACTCCCAATTCTCTGCCTCTTTCTTCATATCTAATTTTTTATTGTTTGTATATACCCATTGTTTTAAAAGTAGTACCTCTAAGTCAGTATGTCCCCATATTAGCTTATTAGTTTCTGTAAACCAAATCTGCCTTTAGATTGCACTATCAGTCATAAAGACATTGCCATTTTAACATTCACCCAAACTTTAAATCACAGAATCCCCTTTGACTCTTTATTTTCTCTATTCCCTTATATCTGATTAACTGCTATTTTCTGTACAGTCTCCACTAAACCTGTTGTATCTCCCCTCTATGTTTTAGATAAACATTTCCCCTTTATTCCAGGGATATATATTTTGAGACCGCCAGCAGTGCCTGAAACCACAGATAGTACCAACCTTTATACAGTTGTCAGATTGGTTCCAGGACCTCCCATGGATACCTATAGATGCTTATCTGCCTTATATAAAATAGTGTAGTATTTGCATATAACCTATGCACATCTTCCTGTATACTTTAAATCATCTCTAGATTACTAGAGATGTAATATCTACTGCAGTATAAATACTATGCAGATAGTTATATTGTATAGGGAATAATGACAGAAAAGTCTATATGTTCAGTAAAGATGCAACTATCCTTTAAAAGTATGTTCTTCCATGGTTGGTTGAATCTGGTGATGTGGAACCCATGGATATGGAGGGCTGACGGTATGCACCATGTTTTTTCCTGGCACATCACTCAACTATTAGCTGGTGAGTCAACTCAAATTGTCAGAAAGACTAGGGACAACTAGACTTCAAGCGATCTTTCATCCCACTTATACTCACAGCACAATCTATGATCTCAGAGGTTCAAGAGATTAAACTCACTTGTGCAAACTGCAATCAAACTTTATTTGCATCTCCTTTGCTGATACCCCATTGGACAAAACAAATATCAAGCTAATTCCATAGTCTATGTAGAGAGAGACTCCATATAGGAACAGATACTAGGAAGTGCCATTCATTGGATGCCTTTTAGTATAACAATGTATCATACTTCCCGTTCTTACTGCTATAATCCTAGTTCAGATTTCCATCACTGCTCTGCTTACTAATGTTCCAGTCTCTTTGTTTTCTAGTCCATCTGATATAATTGAAAGTTTTAATTATACTTCCGTGTTTAAAACAACCAAAAACCTTCTGAAGAAAGTATATTTTTTTCTTCTCCCTGATTTTGAGTGTCCCCAAGACACCTTTCTTAATTTAACTGCCATGGCTCCCTCACACCTGACTTAGATTTCTAAAATACTGTATTGACTTCTTGCCAGTCTCTTTGCTGTCTTCTTACATGTGTTTCTTACTTAAAAGCAATTTTGCCTTATCTCTTTTCATTGATGTCAAACCCATTCTTCAAGTCAATTTTATCTTCCCTTATTCCCCTCTGTCAGAAAGAACTTTTCCTATCGATTAAATCCTTAAGCACTTTACTCATACCGTCTTAAAACTATGTTCATGGCCGGGCTCGGTGGCTCACACCTGTAATCCCAGCACTTTGGGAGGCTGAGGTGGGCAGATCACGATGTCAAGAGATCCAGACCATCCTGGCCAACATGGTGAAACCCCATCTCTACTAAAAATACAAAAATTAGCTGGGCGTGGTGGCCTGTGCCTGTAGTCCCAGCTGCTTGGGAGGCTGAGGCAGGAGAATTGCTTGAACCCAGGAGGCAGAGGTTGCGGTGAGCTGAGATCATGCCATTGCATTCCAGCCTGGCACCTGGCGACAGAGCAAGGCTCTGTCTCAAAACAAAACAAAACAAAACTATGTTCATATCTTTCACTTTATTACTGTTTGTTTCTGTGTATGGATATATCCCTTCTCTAAATATAACTTCTAGAACTACTCTCCCTAATAGAAATACAATGGAAATCATATGTAATTTAACAATTTTTAGTAACTCCATTACAAGAAACAAAAAGACACTAGAGAAATTAATGTTAATGGTAAATTTTATTTAGCCTAATGTATCACAATATGTTATTTCAACATGTAAACATCATAAAAATAGTTTTTTTTTTACATTTTATTTTCACACTATCCAGAGTGTGTTCTACACTTATTACTCATCTCTGTCCAAACTACATTCATTTCAGCTGATAGTATCCAGTTGTTTCTAATAGCTACCACATCACAACCCTAGAATTCTAGGAGAAACATTAGTGTAGTGCAGAGAATGTTGACTTCTAATCAGACCTATTATCAAATTCTGCCTTTGTCACCTGCCATATGAGCCTGGACAATATACTCAATTTCTTTGGGCCTTAGTTCCTTCGTGTGTACAACATTTTTGCTAGTATTAGAGTCTAGTATTGCACAATTTCTAATATAGGGTTTGTTGATTTTTAGAAAATCAATAAGGACATAACCCATGTTATGCCAATGTTTTGCACAATGCCTGGAACCTAGAGTTTTCATGTGACAGCCATTTACTGAGCACATAAGACAATGTCAGTCATTTTACTAGGATTTGGAAATACTGGATATAAAATCTACCTTAAAGAAGCTTGGTCCAGAATGGTAGACAAGTACATTCTTCATTGTTTATAATATATATATACAATAGAAGTCAAATATAGCTTAATGTCATATAAGTTAAAAAGCTGTTGTATAGCAGAGGAGCTAGCTATGCTTGGAAATATAAGGGTAAGCTTCATAAAGTGGAGCTTCTGGTTTTGCAATGAATTGAGTTCACAGGATTGACTGGGGGAAGGACCAAAGGGCAGCATGGGATTGATACTGAAGTAGTTAAGATCCACAGCTCTCTTGATATCGTTCACCAAAGCTGGAACTTCCTCATTTTTTCTCATGTTAAAAAATGGTATCACCATCGAATACCTACATCTTTAATACGTTTTCCTCATCATTCAGCTCTAATCTATTCATAAATCTACTGCCTGTTTACTTCTGAAATATATCTTGTCTATGCCCTAGTCCAAGCCACTCACCTCTTTCCTGGACCACTATAAAAGTTTTATTTTATTATTATTTTTATACTTTAAGTTCTGGGTACATGTGCAGATCGTGCAGGTTTGTTACATAGGTATACACATGCCATGGTGGTGGTTTGCTGGGTTCATCGCCCCATCATTTACATTAGGTATTTCTCCTAGTACTATCATTGCAAAACTAGAAGTTCCTCATATTTTATATGCAATGTCACACCTCCATGACTTTACTAAGTGGTTTCCTTCCCCATATCATCCCTTCCATATCCCACTTAATGTGGAAGCAACTACTTTTCCTTCCACATTAAGTTGAAACCACTTTATGAAGCTTACCCTTATATTTCCAAGCATAGTTAGCTCCACCCAGCTGCTGTGCAAACTTCTAGGCAGCTTTGTTTACATAGGCAATGTTGAAACTGCCTACAGGAGCCTCTGCAATGGTAGACGCCCTTCTCCCCACCAAGCTCCAATGTCCCAAGTCCAGCTCAGGCTGCCGTGCTGGCCGTGAGAGTTCCAAGCCAGCCAATGGATTTTAGCTTTGTATTGTAGGCACCAGAGGGAGTTTCCAGGTCTGTGGGTTGTGTAGACAGTGGGAAAAGCACAGTATCTGAGCTGGAATGCCGAAAAAGTCCCTAATGGCTTTTCTTGGCTGGGAGAATGAGTTCTCCAGCCCCTTTGCACCTCGGGGGTGAGGCAGTGCCTCACCCTGCTTTAGCTTGCCCACCTTGGACTATTCCCACTGTAAGCAGTCCCAGTGAGATGAACCTTGTACCTCAGTTGGAAATGCAGCAATCACTCATCTTCTGGCTTGCTCTCACTGGGATCTGCAGACTGCAGCTGTTCCTATTTGGCCATCTTGGTGGAAGTCCTATAAAGTCTTCTAACATCTACCTCTTTCCACTCTTACCCTGCTATAATCTGGTTTCTTCCCAGAGGCAAAGGTGATTTTTTTTTCAAGTCTATTAGTCTTTCAGTTCCCTTTCTTACAGCTTTAACAGTTCATGTTCTACAAAGTTCTACATGAACTTTGGACACACCTCTCTGACCTCTCTGGGCTACCTCTCTGACCTCATCTCATTTTATCCCACACTTTATCACATGTGCTCTAGCCACACTGACAGTTTTTCTTTTTTAACGTGTCTTATGTATTAACCTTTTCTTTTCTTGGGACATTACTCTTGCTCTTTCCTCTATCTAAATTGCTCTTTTTCTGATCTCAAAATGACTGGACACTTCTAATCCTTCATATCGCATCATAAAGTCACTCTTTTAAGGGATCTCTTCCATTACTACCCAATCTACAATACCTGACAGCAACATCATTCTCTATTTTATTATTTCATACTAGTTTTTATTACTATCTGAAATTATTTTTATCATCACTGTTAGTACTGTTGCTATTACTGTTATTTACAAGTATATTTTCAGTTCTTTCCACTAGAATGTAAGAACTCTGAGAACAGGAATTGTATTTTTCATTGTCTCCTGAACATCACCTACAGTGCTTGGCAAAAGCACACACACTTAACACTTGTTGAATAGATGTATGAAGTTGTTCCCACGTGTACTATTACTATTCCCTTTCATAGCATCTCACTAACATTACATTAAGAAGGAAAAGGTATGAAAATTTATTTAGTGTCTTATCAGGTACAAGAAATATTTGCCTACAGGGAGAAAACCACTACTACTTCAAATCCAAATACTGTATGCACTATATTAAGCACATGGCTTGATGGAGGGGAAAACAGTTAGTTTCTCCAATTCATGGGCTTTCAGATATTAAATATTTTTTCATCTTAATGCAGAAATGTAAATAGCCAATATTTTAATTAAGGATGAGAAACAGAGCTGATTTTTAAAGTGGAAATATTACATAATATTTCTATTTGAAATGGAAACGACAAACGTTTGAAAATAGTTAAAGCAATATTTTGAGACTTCAGTTGGCTACAATTCTATTAGTGAACGATATCAAAAATGAAATACTGTCCTTATTTATGTGTTATTTAATTAGGATATATATATGCACACACAAACATATAAGGACTATATATATTTACTCTATTATATATATGGACTGTATATATACACTGTAGTATATATATATATATATATATATATATATATTAGTTTGTTCTTATGCTGCTATAAAGAAGTGACCAAGACTGGGTAATATATAAAGGAAAAAGATTCAATCAACTCACAGTTAAACATGGCTGGGGAAGCCTCAGGAAACTTGGTGGAAGGGGAAGCAAACACATCCTTCTTCACTTGACAGAAGGATGACATTCTGACCAAAACTCAAAAAGCCCCTTATACAACCATGAGATCTTGTGGGAACTCACTCGCTATCATGAAAACTGTATCATGGGATAACTGCCCCCGTGATTCAATTTCCGTTACCTTCCACCAGGTCCCTTTCATAACACATAGGAATTATGGGAACTATATTCAACATGAGTTTTGAGTGGAGACACAGCCAAACACCCCCTCTGCCACACACACACATGAGTCTCTCTCTATATATATGTACAGATACATAAATAAGGACTGTATAGATATGCCTGTATGTGTGTGTGTATATATATATATATATATATATATATATGCAGTCTTTATGTGTGTAAATATATACACTGTTCTTATGTATGTGCTATATGTGTATGTGTGTGTGTACACACTGCCAGAGGCTTGTAAAGGTTAATATTATATCAATAAGAAAAAATTAATTTCTAAAGGTCATTTAGATTATTTCCATGAGAGACTTTTTAATATTCTTCATCTCTTAAGATTTTTATTGGTAATCCTTTTCAGATTATAAATAAACAGTTTTCCTCAAGTATTATACATGCTACTACTTACTTTGTAAAATGTACTTCTTACAGGAATATAAAGAGTTTCTGGAAAGGACACTGACAACTTCAAAGCAAAATGAAGTTCTTTCTGTTGCTCTTATCCATCGGGTTGTGCTGGGCTCAGTATTTCCCAAATACACAGCAAGGACGGACATCTATTGTTCATCTGTTTGAATGGCGATGGGTTGATATTGCTCTTGAATGTGAGCGATACTTAGCTCCCAATGGATTTGGAGGGGTTCAGGTGGGTAATATTCCTATTATAAATTGCAGAATTTGCTGTATTGTATTAAATAGTGTTCTGATCTTATCTGTGAAGCTGGGGCAATATTGTACCTCACATGTAAGTATTCTAAGTAAAACAGTTTTCTGAGGAAAAAACACTGTAGTATTGTTGGCAACTTTATATTTTCTTTCTAAGACATTCTTTCTCAGACAAGAATCCTCTAATGTGCTTTAATATTGTCAAGAGACAGTTGCATAAACAATGACTAAAGAATATTTTTATACTATTGATTACTTCCCAGAACAGTCAATAATATAATGTAAGATACAATTTGGAACTTATTAAGACTCTTTAATTTGTAGATCTCTCCACCAAATGAAAATCTTGTAGTTAACAACCCTTCAAGACCTTGGTGGGAAAGATACCAACCAATTAGCTATAAATTATGCACAAGATCTGGAAATGAAGATGAATTTAGAAACATGGTGACTAGATGTAACAATGTTGGGGTAAGTGAATTCTAGTTTCTTTCAATAATAGCAGATGGGAGAATGATTTCTCTCCTGTTTCTTGCTCCTTTGGAGCAGAAAGTTTTCTGTATTTTCAATTTTTTATTTTACTTCATACTTTATAACTCAAAATTAACTTTTGCCTTATGTTCCACTTTGTAAGTATTTGTGTATGTGCTGTCAGTCTACTAAAGAGTTAAAGTTTAAAGCAGAATTTACTAAAAAACACAACATCAAATTTTAACCCTTATAGCTATCCATATTTGCTGGAAATACATTTCTAGTTAATAATTAAAAATTCCAGTTACCATATTTATTATCATTTTTAGGTGACTTATGTCTCCATCCATAATTCTTGGGTTTTTCATGATGAATAACTGGCTTCTCTATTTAGTGAGGAGCATAATTTGAGACTAGTATCGACCTTATTTGTCTTCAGATGTTAAGTAGAGAGTACAGGACTTCCCATTCTGTTCACTCTACTGATAATTTCTTTTGCTGTGCAGAAGCTCTTAAGTTTAATTAGATCCCATTTGTCTGTTTGGCTTTCGTTGCTATTGCTTTTGGTGTTTTAGTCATGAAGTCCTTGCCTATGCCTATGTCCTGAATGGTTTTGCCTAGATTTTCTTCTAGGGTTTTTCTACTGTTATGTCTTACATTTAAATCTTTAATTCATGTGGAGTTAATTTTTGTATAAAGTGTAAGGAAGGGGTCCAGTTTAACAATCCTGCATGATCTGCACATTACCCCAGAACATAAAGTATAATAAAGAGAGAGAGAGAGAGAGAGAGAGAGAGAGAGAGAGAGAGAGAGAGAGAGAGAGTGAGACAGAGAGTACAGGCTTTCTCCTGGTGACCAATTGAAGTTTCCAAAACAGTAAACTTTCCAGTCTCAGTTGAGTTTTGTCTCCCAGAAATGGGCTTTTTGCATTTCCTCTTATTGATGGTAGTTTCTGGTTCTCTCAATTTATCATTCCTATAAATATTCGCCCAAGTGTCTAGAATTGATGTAGATGTTTAGTTCACATTACTTTCCTTTCACATTTGACCTTTAGTTTTGTAAGAAAATAGCTGTAGAATATAAGGACATATTTTGGAGTTTTATTAACACACTATAAACTTTATTCAATAATGCTTTAAATTTCTAACTCTCTAAGTGACACTGAAGGAGAAACTTTTTTTTTCCAGGTTCGTATTTATGTGGATGCTGTAATTAATCATATGTGTGGCAATGCTGCGGGTGCAGGAACAAGCAGTACTTGTGGAAGTTACTTCAATGCTGAAAATAGGGAGTTTCCAGCAGTCCCATATTCTGGATGGGATTTTAATGATGGTAAATGTAAAACTGGAAGTGGAGATATTGAGCTCTATAATGATGCTTCCCAGGTAATTTTTTTAAGATAGTGATCTAAATAAAGAGTGATATATGCCTTTTATTTTAGACATGTACCTAATTGAACTCCCTTTTAAATACTATTATATATCTCTTAGGGACACAGATTAACAGGTTTGACTACTTTAAGAGACTCAAATCCATGTTTTAAAAATGTTAACTTGATTCAAGATTGTTTAATCAATACACATTTGCCCACCTTTAAAAAACTCACAGTCGGCCGGGTGCGGTGGCTCAGGCCTGTAATCCCAGCACTTTGGGAGGCCAAGGTGGGTGGATCACAAGGTCAAGAGATCGAGACCATCGTGGTCAACATGGTGAAACCCTGTCTCTACTAAAAATACAAAAAAATATCTGGGGGTGGTGGTGCGTGCCTGTAATCCCAGCTACTCAGGAGGCTGAGGCAGGAGAATTGCCTGAACCCAGGAGACGGAGGTTGTTGTGAGCCAAGATCGCGTCATTGCACTCCAGCCTGGGTAACAAGAGCAAAACTCCATCTCAAAAAAACACCCTCACAATCAATTAAAAAGCTCATCAACTTTATTTCCTAAATTCTCTGTTTTCTACTAGATAATATTTCAAAGATACATCCATAGTAAGGTGTCAACATCCTCAGTGCCCAGTGCAAAGAAGTCACTACAGAATATCTGTTGATGGATAACTGAATGAATGATTAATCCAATGTATTCTCAGGTGAAAAATGATGTTTTGTGAATCAGTGACATCATTTTTATCTCAACAGGTCAGAGATTGTCGTCTGGTTGGTCTTCTGGATCTTGCACTGGAGAAAGATTATGTGCGTTCCAAGGTTGCAGAATATATGAACCATCTCATTGACATTGGTGTTGCTGGCTTCAGAATTGATGCTTCCAAGCACATATGGCCTGGAGACATGAAGGCAATTTTGGATAAACTGCATAATCTAAACTGTAGCTGGTTCCCTGAAGGAAGTAAACCTTTCATTTACCAGGAGGTACATCCATCTATATATGCATAAAAATGTCATCTTATTTGTTGGAAAAGCAATGGCAGATTCCCTTAAAAATGCAATTTTTATAGAATAAGGACTGAATCGTTTATATAAAAGTGTTCTCTAACCTCTTCTTCAGTAGCATATCTAATTCTGTATCACAACAGGTTTTATGGAGGTACACAGAATGTAGGAGAATGATAATAGTTATGAGGTTCACAGAATGTAGGAGAATGATAATAGTTATGTCTTTGTTTTCTTTGGAAAATAAAAAGAGTTAATATTTATCAAGAAATGTCAGTCAGATAGTAAATGTGTTAGTGTGAGCTGCTCCTATTATTATCATTGATGTACAAGACTAAAAATTGGGTAAGTATTCTCACAGGACAACAGGTAACCTTGACATTATGTTTCTTTCAATATTGTAGTGTATACTTCATCAAAAAATAAAGAATAAAAGAATGTTACCTGTTGAGATAATAAGAATAAGAAAGCCATTTGGAGCATTTCATTTCAGAAATAGGACTGGGTGTGGGGGCTCCTGCATGCAATTCCAGCACTTGGGGAAGCTGTGGCAGGAGGAGTGCTTGAGGCTAGAAAAAAAAAGAAGACCAAAACTAATAATAAATAGTATATTATAATACCGTGTTAAAATACTTAAAGTCCTTATGAAAATTGTTATTGTTTCCTAAACTTCTACTAGGTAATTGATCTGGGTGGTGAGCCAATTACAAGCAGTCAGTACTTTGGAAATGGCCGGGTGACAGAATTCAAGTATGGTGCAAAACTTGGCACAGTTATTCACAAGTGGAATGGCGAGAAGATGTCTTACTTAAAGTAAATAAATACAACTTTTCCCCTGAATTATTTCATAGATCTATTAGTCATAGTACCCCAGTGTGAGTTGTTTTCTCAAACTTTCTTATTCAGACAACTATCAAGGAGTCAGTTTTTAATGAGACGTGTTTGAGTGCCCCGAACCCTAATCAATCATCTTTTGTATTTAGAGTGTCTGTCTCAAGACAGTATGCCTAAGAACCCTAAACAATCCCTGGGGATTTTCCTAAGTATGAGATGAATATACTAGATTTGACTGATGTTTGCATATGATCTTTTAAAGCCAGGTTATTATTAAAATGATCCCATCATTTGTAAAATATGTGCAATGTGTCTGTACTGTAGAACTTCCATATATTAATTAATTTAAAGCATTAAAATATTTATAATATAACAATATTTTATTGAAATCTTATTTTAATCTACTTTGACATTCTTTATAATGTGATTTGGATATTGATCCTTCTGGAGTGTCTCTAAATTTTAATATTCTGAAACCTCCAAAGGGACATCTTTTAACAACAAAAATCTTGTAACTGTAATATGAATAGAATTCAAGGATTACATACATGTATAGACAAATATGGGCTGTATATGTAGGTTACTCACATGTGGTTGCATATGGTGTGTGTTTGCATATATGTGTGTTTATGTGTTTGTGTGTGTGTGTGTGTGTGTGTATCTGACAAAATGACCATTTGCTTAGAGAGTTTAATTTCAGATGCCATGCAGAAAGAGATGCACAGTTAAGTTACTCTAAAAGTATTGTGAAATAATACATAACTGCATATATTATTTTTCAAAAATAGGAACTGGGGAGAAGGTTGGGGTTTCATGCCTTCTGACAGAGCACTTGTCTTTGTGGATAACCATGACAATCAACGAGGACATGGGGCTGGAGGAGCTTCTATTCTTACCTTCTGGGATGCCAGGTAGAAAACAAAGTGCTCTATTTTTTAAATACATCTTTTAATGATGGTCAGAATAGTCTGTGATTCTGTGGTAATATAATTATGTAACTTTCAGGCTGTATAAAATGGCAGTTGGATTTATGCTTGCTCATCCTTATGGATTTACACGAGTGATGTCAAGCTACCGTTGGGCGAGATATTTTGAAAATGGAAAAGTAAGTTTTGGAGTTACTCAAAATACCATGTTTTCAAGAAAAAGGAGGAAATTTTGTTCTAAGTTAATATGACCACTATTAATTCTATATGTATTCAACAAATATTTATTAAGTGTAAACGTGATACAGGGCTCTGATTTTAGTAATGCCAATTATATTAAAGTAGCAAAATGTATGTTCTCTGTTATGAGTATGCAAGCTGTTTGAGAAATATGACAAACATCCCCGTAGCCCACAGTAATAAAACACTAAAAAATAGGAGAAAGAATACAGGGAATAAAATATGGGCTTGTAACACGCACCTGCCTCCGGGTTGATATGAGGATGATACATGCCAACTCTTCTAGAGAATTTAAAATGTCATCTGCCCATCTTGAGAGCAATATAAATATTTGTTAAATAATTTTTAAAAGGTTATATGGAATACAAGGCAATGATTCCATTGAGCTGAGTTAAATAGGGAAAGTATCTTATAAGCGAAAGGAAATAATATGTACTAAAGAATAGAAATTTATAGAGTATTCCAAGAAAGGTAAGAATGAGAAAAATATTTGGGAGTATGGTAAACACATTAATCGGATAAGTAGTTTCAGAAAGGAACAGAGAAATAAGAATGTAAAGATATTTGGAAAGTTAGTACAAAGTTTTCTTTGAAACTAAAGGTTTCAGAAACTGCGTCATACAGAAACTTCACACTTTAAAGCAGAAATTCCTCACTCCTATGAGGCATACAGATATCTCTCTCTCTTGCTTCTTCTAGAAGCAAGGGTGGGTCGCCTTTTAGTTTGAGAAGTCCACTACTTTGGATAGCAACTCATTCTATTGTTAAACAGCTTTAATATTTAGAAAATGTACCATTATACTGAGCCAGCTTCTTATAATTTCTACTAATTGGTCTTATTTCAGATGTTAGGAGTCCGAGACTATTTTATTTTTTCTATTACTATGACATTTTCACTTTGCTAGGACTGCATGAGAAAAACTTTTAATTTTTTTTTGTTTTCACCATTTAGCATGATTCTAAGATCAACACTTATAACCTTCCTAGGGTTATTCTGGTTTTTATTAAATTAATGTTTTTAGCAGTACCAATCAGAAAAACATATTACAAATCTTGTCAATTCTATTTAAAATATTCAGAAGTATCGTTTTGTACATTTGTCTAAAAAGAAGTATGAAGTACTATAAAATTTATTTAGCACATGTCATATTCAAGGCATTTTCACAAACATTATTTAATTTTTATAGCAGAAAAGCAGTATTTCCATTTCACAAATGAGGAAACCAAGACACAGAGAAATTGTGTATATTGACTAAGTTTTCTTAGCTAATAGTATTGGAACCTATGTTTTAATACTGGTGTTTCTAATACTAACACCCGCCCCATTTCCATGACATCACTTGGCTTACCCTGATGTTAAGAAACACTTGCAGGTCAGGTGCAGTGGCTTTTACCTGTAATCCCAGCACTTTGAGAGGCAGGCAAGAACATCACGTGACGTGAGGAGTTCTAGACAAACTAGGCAAGCTAGCAAGATTTCATCTTTACTGAAAATAAAAAAAAAAAAAATAGAAGAAGAAGAAGAAGAAAAAATAGCTTCCTGTGGTTGTGGCACACCAACTCTCCCAGCTACTTAAGAGGCTGAGATGGGTGGGCCGTTTGAGCCTGAGAGATCAAGGCTGCAGTGAGCTGTCATTGTGCCACTGTACTCCAGCCTGGGAGACAGAGCAAAGAAGCCTTTGCAGTTCTTTGGAATAAAAAGGAGAGGATAAAAATGTGCTACCTTTGTTTGAAATATAGCAACAGAGAAGCAGAGGATACAGAGATGATGAAGACCTAGTAGAGCGCTGTGAAAATTAATGGAATCATTGGATTCTAGATCAAGTCACTGACTACAGAGCCTCAAATAGCAGAATAAACTGAGTTTGGTGTGAAGGAGAAGAAAGAGGCAAATACATTTATGTAAAAATTTGACTCTCCTCCTTCCACAATAAAGGATGTTAATGATTGGATTGGACCACCAAATAATAATGGAGAAATTAAAGAAGTTACTATTAATCCAGACACTACTTGTGGCAATGACTGGGTCTGTGAACATCGGTGGCGCCAAATAAGGTGAGAATATTTATTTAGACATCTCCTCTACTAGTAAACTTTCTTTAACATTTTATTGAGAACAGTTTAAGAACGTGAATGTTTTATATGTTACTGTGTTTTTAGGAACATGGTCATCTTCCGCAATGTAGTGGATGGCCAGCCTTTCACAAACTGGTGGGATAATGGCAGCAACCAAGTGGCCTTTGGGAGAGGAAACAGAGGATTCATTGTTTTCAACAATGATGACTGGTAAGTAAATATTGATTAAAAATAAGGTTTTGTACCAGTATGTTCTTGGTTTGTTCTTTTTTTTCTGTTCATTTCCTTTTATTATATCTGAAAAATCATTTAGTCAGTGGAGCAAGAAGACATAGAGATCAAAATGGGCGGAAGTCAAAGGATGATGGCTCTTACTTCTTTGTTCTCCTATTTTGATAAGACTTTGTTCTCCTATTTCTAACGGACTCTGTTGTAAGCAGAGTCCTTTCTGTGCACCCTTGCAGTATCTTATGCATATACAGAATGCACACATAAATGCTCACCTACGCGTGCCACAAAATACACAAAGTAGTTAATATACAGATTGTGAAATCATTAGAAGAACATGTCTTGTAGTTGTGCTTTTTTAATCATGGAAAAATGCTGCCTCAATACTGAAATGTGTTTATTTCTACTCTTTTTCTCAAAGGACCCTCTACCTGGTTTTGTGGTATACTTTATTCACTTCTCTGTCTCCTTGTGACAAATAATATTTTTAATGCATTTTTATAAACAATATGTACCTGTGGTTAATGATTTGCCTCAGAAGATTTGGGTTTTATTTCTGAAACTTCTCATTGTTGGCCTTTCATCTGCGATGCTTATATATTTTGACTGTAGGATAAATGATTCTCTAATCTATAGCTCAGAAAACCTCCTTGCAAGCAGTTGAAATGTCTCTGACAAAGGCCAACTGATACTCATACTTAGCCCATCCTAGTCTAAATTACTTTTCACTGTAGAAAGATACATACATACATACATACATACATACATACATACAAAGTCAAGTCGATCTCTTTCTGGCCAAAAAGACCCAAGTCTAGTTCTTTAATTTCCTTCTTTTGTGGATGAAAATACCAAAATAAATTTATGTGAAAAAGCTTTATATTTCAAACTATCACTTCTTCATAGAAATGCTACATTTTTTGTATGTACACCTCAGAATCTTTGTAACCTCATGGGAAAGAAAGAGATAAAAAAAGAAATACCCTTTACATTTTTAAAAGTAATCGTATTAAGTTCAGTTGAGCACAAATTTGATTTTACCAAGGTAGCACTTTTACCAAAGTGTGACCATCCCTGCCAGTCTTCAATGATACTCTTCAATTTTGATTTTTTGGCAATACTTTCACTACTGACCAGGGAATTGCTAGGTTTTCTGTACGGTTACTTTAGGTTTTGGGAAAGCTATTTGTATCTACTAGAGAGGCATATGGGTTTTCTTCTTAATGAGACCTTGACTGCCTAGAGTTCTACAGCATAAATTTATGTTGTTTTTTTCGTGTGAGAGACATTCTGTATTCTTGCTTTTTGTTGTACTGAAGTTAAATCTTAAATTTTGTTTTATAGGACACTTTCTTTAACTTTGCAAACTGGTCTTCCTGCTGGCACATACTGTGATGTCATTTCTGGAGATAAAATTAATGGCAATTGCACAGGCATTAAAATCTACATTTCTGATGATGGCACAGCTCATTTTTCTGTTAGTAACTCTGCTGAAGATCCATTTATTGCAATTCATGTTGAATCTAAATTATAAAACTTAAATTAAAAGTATATATGCAAAACAGTAGCAATGTGTGTTTCTTTTCTTACATTTATAATACTTCTTATATTCATTAATTTTTAGAAAAAAAACTGTAACAAGTAATCAATTTGAAAAACTCAGAAAAAACTCAGAATAGTAAGAATAGTATTAAAAATCCCATGTAATTATTAAACAATTATAAGATAATTAAAATCAACCTGTTGTTATGCTTTAGAAGATTAACTTTAACCTATTTGTCAAAGGAGTTTCTATGAACTCATAGAAGCAATTTAACCAATATGTTTGTTGTCATTAGCATCATTTACCCAGCTATGGACCTCTAATTTCTGTCATTCTGTAATTCTTCCAGAGAGTGTTTTTATCTGTTAGTTGGAGATAGCTGGTATAATGTTGATTTCCATCCAAAGCTGGCCCTGTTGTGTGCTTTTTATAATATGCAAGTACTTTTGCTGTTAATAAGGTTAAACAAATAGAAGAAGCCTAAATTATACAATCTACAGTTTTTCTATTGAGCTCACTGGAATCTTCCACTACTTTCTCTATATTCTTTCTTCTTTTTCATATTTTTTTCTAACAGCTTTGACTTGATATTTATGACTTTTTGTTCGTTTTCTTATTCTACAATAGGAATGATTGCTTAGGGCTGTCATGACACCATGCCGTCTGGGTTTTCTTCTCAATACTCTATTCATTCTTCTTCATCTTAACGTTAAACATGGAATTCATTGGGGGGTCTCACATAGGTTTCTTTATAACTCTCACTTATTTTTAATGTGTAAATGAGAACATAGAGGCCATAACTCGTAAGTGTCTCTTCTTTTCTTCTATAAATATATCTGTCCCTGCCACAAAGAAGATTCACTGTGCGTTGGTACCACTTCAGCTCACTCATCTTGGGCTGCAATTTCTACTACTTGCATAAGTCCAGTGAGATAGAACATACACACAAAAAGATACATGAAGCATGTTTATTGCTTACAGATAGGCATCAAGAGACACAGAAACCTGGGATTCATGAGGAGCCCGCCTCCCAGCACTCAGACAATTTTCCTAGGGGGAGGTGAAGTCTCATTTTCTTGTGCCCTATTTATACCTCATCTAAGGAACCCCTGAAAGAAGCCTGCCCCCTGTTTTATAACTTGGGCATCAAGTGATACACTGGGCTAAGCACTAAAGGAAATGCTGTTCTAAGAGACACAGTAACAGAGTCTGAGCCTTATCGCAGGATGCTGCATTCCCAGCTCATTCTACAGCTATGGTTCTTAAGAACCATAAGTGAGAGAAGGCAAAGAACTGGGTTGGCCCAAGGCCACTTGGAGAGCTGTCCTGCATTTCCCTTAGCATTTTCCTTTTTTTTCTCCTCTTACAATGAAGAAAGTACACCTCATCCTAAGAAAGGCCATTTTTCTCTACTTATGTTAATGATAACACTCCATTTTTATCTTTTGGAGGACTTATTTTTTTCATGTTATCCTCCCTCTTTGCATTTAGCAGCTTTTCCCTTTCTTCTGCATGGTTCCTCTCAGATTACATACATTACAGTATTCCCACAAAACATATCAATGACCGCCCTCAGATATCCTTTTGGGTCTATTTCTTTGTTCATTTTCTTGAGCCCTTTCCTAATCATACCTCTCTTTTTATCACACTGTCTCCACATCCACAACCTCACTCATTATTCATCTCTTTACTATCCAGTTTTCACCATGATCACTTCACTGAATCTGCTTTTGTCAACATCATCAATGACATTTATGTTACCAGTCCAATATCGTTCTCTATTCTCAGCTTAATCTACTTCATAGCGGTATTCAGGACAGTGGGTCACTCTCTCTTCCTATCTTCCTTTGGTTGTTTAATTCTCCTCTCCTGTTTCCTTAGGTGTCACTGATTACTCTTTTTCAGCTTTGTTCATTTGTGTTCTTAAACTGTATCATCTTATTCTGTTCCACCTAAGTCCTCATTGTTATCTATTTCTCTTCTTTCTCTATCATCTCTCCTCTAGGTGATTGTAATCATTTTCATGGATTCTAAACAACTATTTTCTGTGGACACCCAGGTATCTTCAGCTCAGAACTTGGACTTCAGCCTCATATTTCCATCAGTTGCTTGTTATCACCACTTCAAAGTTCCATAGACATTAATTAAGATATCCAATATGAAACCCTCATTTTTTTCGTGCATAAGTCTTTCTCTGTATTATCTTCTTACTGCTTAGAAACCTGTGATATTTCCTGATTTCTCTCTCTTTAGCTCAACTTTATCTCTTCTTATAAACCTTAGCATTAATTATTAATTATATCTTCAAAACATCTCTTGATTTATTGCATTTCTTTTGTATCCTCTGTCATCCCCTCGTCTAGGTCACAGTTATCTCTTCCCTGTCTTCCAAAACAACCCTACAACTGGTCTCCTACTTCCATTATTTTACTCTCTTACTTCATTTTACCTAAGACCACAAAATTATATTCATAACAATTTAAATCAAACTAAAATGTTAGTGCTTAAAACTCTGACATTTTTATTGCACTCAGAATAATTCCAACTACTCAATGGTAGACTATAAAATCACACTTTATCAGACATGAACCTAGATCTCCAACCTCAGTTCTAATAGTTTCACTTGAGAATTCCATAGCCTCTGGTACTCTAGTCTTCCTTCATTTTATTGAATATGCTTAGGCAATACAAATTCAGGACATAGGCATGGGCAAGTACTTCATGACTAAAACACCAAAAGCAATGGCAGAAAAAGCCAAAATGAACAAATGGGATCTCATTAACCCTAAGAGCTTCTACACAGCAAAAACAAAACAAAACAAAACAAAAAAACTATCATTAGAGTGTACAAAACAATACTTCCAAATATTTTAAATAAATTTGGCAAGATGTTTAATATATTTTTCTGATTGGCACTGCTAAAAATATTAATGTAAAAACCCAGAATAACCCTAGGGAGGTTATCAGTGTTGGCCTTAGAATCATGTCATATAGTGAAAAATGAAAAAAAAATTAAGAGTTTTTAGCATGCAGTTGTCCTAGCAAAGTGCAAATATTATGGTAATAGAAAAAATAAAAATATCCTCTGACTCCTAACTTCAGAAATAAGACCAACTAGTAGAAATTATAAGAAGGTGGCTCAGTATAATGGTACACCTAAATATTAAAGCTGTTTAACAATAGAATGAGTTGCTATACAAAGTAGTGGACTTCTCAAACTGAAAGGCATCTAGAAGAAGCGAGAGATATCTGTGTGCCTCATAGGAATGAGGAATTTCTGCTTTAAGTGTGAAGTTTTTGTATGACGCTGTTTCTGAACCCTTCAGTTTCAAAGAAAACCTTCTACTAGCTTTCCAAATATCTTTTTATTATTATTTTTATTTTTTTATTGCATTTTAGGTTTTGGAGTACATGTGAAGAACATGCAAGATAGTTGCATAGGTACACACGTGGCAGTGTGATTCGCTGCCTTCCTCCCCTTTACCTATATCTGGCATTTCTCCCCATGCTATCTCTCCCAACTCCCCACCTCCCGCTGTCCCTCCCATATTTCTCCCAACAGATCCCAGCATGTAGAGCCCCCCTCCATGTGTCCATGTGTTCTCATTGTTCAACACCTGCCTATGAGTGAGAACATGTGGTATTTGATTTTCTGTTTTTGTGTCAGTTTGCTGAGAATGATGTTCTTCAGGTTCATCCATGTCTCTACAAAGGACACGAACTCATCGTTTTTGATGGCTGCATAATATTCCATGGTGTATATGTGCCACATTTTCCCTGTCCAGTCTAGCATTGATGGGCATTTGGGTTGATTCCAGGTCTTTGCTATTGTAAACAGTGCTGCAATGAACATTCGTGTGCATGTGTCCTTATATTAGAACAATTATAATCCTTTGGATATATACCCAGTAATGGGATTGCTGGGTCAAATGGAATTTCTATTTCTAGGTCCTTGAGGAATCGCCACACTGTCTTCCACAATGGTTGAACTAATTTACACTCCCACCAGCAGTGTAAAAGTGTTCCTATTTCTCCACATCCTCTCCAGCATCTGTTGTCTCCAGATTGTTTAATGATCACCATTCTAATTGGCGTGAGATGGTGTCTCAATGTAGTTTTGATTTGCATTTCTCTGATGACCAGTGATGATGAGCATTTTTTCATATGTTTGTTGGCCTCGTGTATGTCTTCTTTTGTAAAGTGTCTGTTTATATCCTTTGCCCACTTTTGAATGGGCTTGTTTGTTTTTTTCTTGTAAATCTGTTTGAGTTCTTTGTAAATTCTGGATATCAGCCCTTTGTCAGATGGGTTAACTGCAAACATTTTTTCCCATTCTGTTGGTTGCCGATTCACTCTAGTGACTGTTTCTTTTGCCATGCAGAAGCTGTGGAGTTTGATTAGGTCCCATTTGTCTATTTTGGCTTTTGTTGCCGATGCTTTTGGTGTTTTTGTCATGAAGTCCTTGCCTACTCCTATGTCCTGAATGGTTTTGCTAGATTTTCTTCTAGGGTTTTTATGGTGTTAGGTCTTTACACTCTTATTTCTCTGTTTCTGAATTTCTCTGTTTCTATATTTCTGAAACTACTCATCAGATTAATGTGTTTACCATACTTCCAAATATTTTTCTCATTCTTATCTTTCTTGGAATACTCTATACATTTCTATTTTTTAGTACATATAATTTCCTTCCTCTTATAAGACACTTTTCCTACTTAACTCAGCTCAGCTGAATCATTGCTTTGTATTCCATATAACTTTTTAAAAAGTATTTAACAAATATTTATATTGCTCCCACTATGGGCAGATGACATTTTAAATTCTCTAGAAGAGTTGGCATGTATCATCCTATATCAACCTCGAGGTAGGTACTTGTTGGAAGTCCATATTTTATTCCCTATGTCTAGCTCTTATTTTTAAGTGTTTTTTTTCCCCCTGCGGGCTAGGGGGATGTTTGTCATATTTCTCAAACAGCTTGCATACTCTTTGATAACAGAAAACATACATTTTGCTACTTTAATATA